CTGGTTCCTGATGCTGGCTGGAACTGGGAATAAAAACAATGTAGAGATATTAGCAGAAAGAATGGACAAAGTCCAAGAAGATATTCCCCAGGAGTGATATATGAATGATATAGAAGACAAGGCTGAAATCAGATCTTCAAGTATTACTGATAATGGTTTTCTTTTCTTTTGTTTGCTTTTATGAGACAGGGTTTCTCTGTATAAAAGCTCTGGCTGTCTTGGAACTCACTCTGTAGACCAGGCTGGCCTTGAACTCAGAGTCTGCCTGCCTCTGCCTCCCAGAGTGCTGGGATTTAAGGTATACACCACCAGCCCCTGTGATGATGGTTTTCAAATAAGAAAAAAAAAAAAAAAGAAAAGAAAAGAAAAAGAAAAAAAGATCCAACATTACGACTTCCATGTTACTTTCTTTTTGTGGATGTGTGAGTGGTATTCATATGTACATGTGTGTTTACACGTGTGAAGGCCAGTGGTTTACACTGAGTGCCATCCTCAATCCTTCTACACTTTATTTACTAAGGCAGAGTTTGTCACTGAACCTAGAGCTCACTGACTGAGCTAGTGTAATTAGTCAGTTTACCCAGGGGATTCTGTCTCAGCCTCTGGAGTGTTGAGGAAAAAAAGCTGCCATGAGCTCTCTGAACTCAAGTTCTTGTGTTTGCATGGCAAGAATTTTATCCACCAAGTTTTCTCCCCACTCCTATTTTGTCTCCAGGAAGAACACACAACATAAAATGCATATATATAGGATGCAAGTCAGGGGAAAAGAACAAGAGATGAATTTAAGGTCTTTGGGCACGCACACAGTGGTTACAAAATTCAGCCACTAATGCTCAAAGAGTCTACAGAATTTAATAAGTTTATTATTTAACTATCTTAAATGTGATCTCAGGAAGCAGAGGACAAATCTCCACAGAAGGCCAGAAGCTATACTGCTTCCTACCTGTGAAAGAAGACAGGCAGACTTTTCAAGACAGATCCAAGAAGTAAATGCAAGGGGAAACAGCATCAGCAGCATAATTTCACAGTCATCTCAAATCCTTGTTCAATTACTGTCAGTAATAGATGCTAGTAATCCTCAACTTGAGGCAAGAAGGATTAAACTGCACTCCTTAAAATGAAACAAAGGATATAACGTATCATAAGACTTTTCTCACAGAAGTATACCTAAAATAAGAATTAGCATTTAACACATTATTACCCAACACTAGATAAATGAGGCAACGGTATGCACACAGAGAAAGTCAACACCTGAAAACACGGATTAATAGACTTCACTATTCTGCACTTGGCTCTTTCCTTCTTATGCAGTCATAATTTCATGTTCCTTGGCCTCCTTTTGTAACAGTCTTCTCTACCGTGGCCAGTACCTTCCCACAAGATACTAACCTCAAACACACCAAAGCACACTGTCTCATTCTGCACCACATCTGACACTCAGCTCTGCATCCCCAAGACTTTTTAGGTCTAAAAACAAACATTTCTTTTGTTTTTGGCAAGAACAAAAATTGTATCAGAAGGCCTATTTATTATTTAGAGAGTAGTTTATTAATTTCTGTAATCAAACCCATGTAGCAGAGGACCTCTGCATTATACTCTCTTGTAGGCAGCTCTCGCTGTCACGTTGACAGTGGAAGTTAGTCAGGAAGGAATTTCAGTAGCAAAGTAGGGACTTCTGTTCCACACCGCAGACCCACGTCACTGAGCTCATTAGTCACACAGACCCCCAAGAAGGAAAAGGAGAGATGTGCAGATCCTGGAGAGTTCTTATGAGAGAAAGACCCTTCCTTTTCCATCTCCAATATAAGGGCCATGAGGATGGTCAGCACCTATGCTGCTGGTATGGTTACCAAGAATTCCAAGTTCTTCTATTAAGGTAAAAACACTGGCTATCCATCCATCCATCAAACTGTTCAGCCAGTGTAGGTGGCAGGAGAATGTGTGCAGCTCCTCATGACCAGAGCACTGACAAGCTGCAGATGGCTGGAACGCCATATAACCACAGGACTGACTCTCAATACAGCTCCAATACACAATTACCTTTAATAGCGCATTTCCAACAGAAATCTGAAACACACTGCAATGGCTTTTTTTTTAATTGAAGGGGGGCTAAAAATCCAGTTTTAGCACCAGAGTATCTATGCTTTCCTCACACTAATTCCCATTTATCAATTAAACCAACAAATAATTGATGAACACCTACTATATACCCTATCATTACAACTGTAGGGTCTGAGGGTAACTGTGCTCCCTACCCGAATCTACAAAATCAATCACAGATGGACCCTCCATCCGTGTATCTTTCTACTATAACTGAGTACAGTCTCTACTATGCAACCCCAGCACTCACCAAGTGTTAAAATGTAAATGGTTATCAATTTGAAGGCTGAACTTTCTGGCTTTACACTAACAGCACTGAAATGGTAGTCATAGGGAAGTAATTCATGTCGTAAAAGCAAACAGAAAATTTCATTTAGGGATTGAAAATTCAGAAAAGATTTTTAAAAAACAACAGATGCTTTAAGGCTCTATGAAAAAGTTGAAATGGAAATCAAGAGACGTGACTAAAAGCAAATAATCATTAACTTAGCATAAAATAATCATGACATAAAAGATTACGAAAAATAAAAGCCAGTGACTTGCTTTTTCCAAAGTATACTTTAGTTCAAAAAAAAAAATAGGCATGCGTTTAAACAAAGTATGCCTATTTCTCACTATCTCCAAGGAAACAAATCAATCCCTTGTCACAAGGAAAGTTATTAATCCCAGAATTTTTTTTTCTTTTTTTTGAGACAGGGTTTCTCTGGCAGCAGTCCTGGCTGTCCTGAAACTCACTCTGTAGATCAGACTGGCCTCGAACTCAGAGAGATTCGCCTGCCTCTGCCTCCTGAGGGATGGGATTAAAGGGGCGCACCAAGCCAGCCCCACATTGTTCGCCTTTGATAAGCATTTCAAATGTGGACTGGGTATCTTGTTGATGGGAAACTGCTGGTTCTGGGACACAAAGCCCAACACCTTCACAAACTTTAAGAAAGTTATTAAGCCGGGTGGTGGTGTGGCATGCCTTTAATCCCAGTTCTCGGGAGGCAGAGGCAGGCCAGCCTGGTCTACAAGATCTAGTTCAAAGACAGGCTCCAAAGCTAAAGAGAAACCTTGTCTTGAGACAAAGAAAGGCTATTAGTTAATACAATAATTTTAAATTCAGAGCCTACACAAATAATTTAGCATCTTTAATTCCTGAACCTGTTTCTCGGGATGGTAAATGGCATGCGGAGTGCTCTCTGTTTAGCTCAAAGATCTTGCATAAATCCAAGGAATGAGAAGCACACCGGAATCACTAGTCCAGTGAAATTCATGCATGAATTTACAACCCTAGAAATATAGGCATGGTTAATAAATGACAATCTTGACTTTACCCGATTACTGACTATATCAAAGTCTACACCTCAATGAAAAACTCGCATTCTTTTTTTTCTTCCAGCGTGAGCCATCAAACCTCCAGGGGGAAATTGGCTGAGTAAATGACCCTGACACCTGGTTCTAGATCCAAGTGACAATGTTAAACATTTTCCCCAAATTGTAACTCCTTACCCATCCTACTGGAGATAGAGTCTCTAAACGAAGTAATTATATGAGGACCAACCTCGCCTTGCTCCCCCCCTTTTCTCCTTTTTATCAGAAGCGTGACAGAGAACGGACGCCTGATTAAAAAGACTGTCTTATCAGACTCCACAATCAAGGACACAGCTTGACAACGTTCAAGTCCAACATTACGGCTGCGTCTGAGTCCGCTCTTAAACGCCGGGCCGTCACACCCGGAAATGAAACCGCCGCCAGCGCAGCCCGCTCAGGACTACAGTCTCATCTCAAGTTGTGCCCATGGCGCTCCGAGCGCGCGACCCCCAGGCTGCCCTCTCCGGCCCAGGGGCCTGCAGGTCACTCGCGCTCCCCGGCGGTCACCGTGCGAGCCCGGTAGGGGCTCAGCGAGAGCGCCCTCCTCGGCCACCATAAGGGCCCGGTAGGGACCCAGCGAGAGCGCGCTCCTCCCTGGGCCGCCGACACCAGCTCTGTGTGGTAGGAGGGCAACGCCAGGACCGGGAGCCTCTGGGGACAGCGCTCGGCAGCGAGCACCGGTCACCGCAAGGACTCCCGACCGTCGGCGCCTCGGCAGGGCCGGCTACACCGGCCAAGCCGCACGCAGCCTCGCGGGGAAGCCGGG